ACAAAATGAAGTTTCTGGATATAATTGTTTATTACTCACTGCTTATCTGCTGTCCCCATGCATTCTTTGCTATTTTGTTATTCACAAGCAATGGGAGAGAATGAATTCTCTTTTAGAGTCACTCAGAGCTGGGTTGGGGGTGGTGGCCCACACCTATAATCCCAGCACTCAAGAGGCAGGAGGATCATGAATCGAAGGCCATCCTAGACTATATAGTGAGACCCTGACTCAAAAATAAATAAATACAATTGTTTAAAAATATAGTCACTTAGCTGGGATAAAGTTGGACCAAGTGGGAAGGTTGGAAACAGTCATGCTTTTTCTCTTCTTTGTGCTAGGGAAACATTCAAGGACTGATGAATCTGTTTCTTGAGTTTAATAAACAGAATATGGGATTTTTCACGATATACTGTTAAGGGTTAAAAGCTGTACTTACCATTATGAAGATTGAAGAAAGGACCAATAATTAAATCAAATGAAACTTTTCTAAATTTCTACTGTTGGTGATTTAAAGGGATAGTTTAGAAATAATTTTTGTGGAACTATGTTACAGTTCAGATGTTGAGGATGTAGGATGTGGAAGTTGAAAATTAACCAGTTAAAAAGTTTTGCCATAGGTTGAAAACAAAATGGGTTATGAAAAATGGTTACTGTTCTCTTAAAGAGTTCCTCAAAACCTGTCTTTCTCTGCATTTATACTAACTCAGTTGGGGACTATAAAAGAACGTGTAGGTCTGAATGTATACAAGGACTTATCTAGAATGAATATATTGTATAGTACTGTATTGCAACTCATTTTACAGCACAAATAATGATACAATAATAATAATGCTATTAATATTTTAGAATAACAATTTAAGTGTGTAACCAAATCAAGATCAGATAAAGTAATTTTTTCAGGCCTAAATACCTGTCCTTTTTCATTCAACAAACATTCATGGTAGGCCTACTACCTATAAGACAAGTAATCAGTGGGGAAAAGTTGTGGAAGTTAATTACTGGGGAGTTGGAAGTACCTAATTAACATTGATTTAGAGTTTTATTTATGTTTCCTACTGGAAACTAGCATGAAATAATATCTGCTCATCAAGTAAAAAATATTCTGGTTTTGGCTTCTGTAGTTTAGTTTGCAACATAGAATGTAGTGGCAGGAAACAGGAGTTCTAGTCTGTCTTACCTAGCACATCTTAGTAAGAGGAAAAATAGACAAGGGTTAAGTGAGACATGGAATACCAGTTAGCCAATTTAGTGTACAGCCTCCTACCACTAAACAGCTGGGTAAGCTTGAAAACACATTTTAACTTCTCAGAACTGTAGAGCTTTCACCAGTTAAATAAATAGATATTAATAGATGGTTGTGCAGATCTCTTCTAGTTCTAAAATTTAACTAAGTGAAAGAAGCATGAGAAGTGTTGAAATCATGAGATAAATTTAAGATGTGATGATGAAGACAATGACGAAGACTGGAGGTGAATATTAAGTAACCTTTTGTCTACCTCCATATCCATTTTGGTTTAGAAAAACCCCTTGGCTTTGGTGCATCCTGAGCACCAGCAGTCTGGCAGGCCACCCTCCATGGTGCTGAACCAGGACAGAGGCACTCAGGGGCCTCTGTTCAGACTTAGGCTACTGCCCGAGAGGTGATAGGTTAAGTCAAGCAGACTTTGGACCAGATTCTACCTTCATGATTGGCCTTTTTCAGTATCACGGTTCTTCTGTATAATGAGGATGATCATACCAATTCAAAATATTGTTATGAGATTAATCAAAGCAAGTGTATAAAGTACCTGCACAAAGTAGGTAGCTGCTAGTAACGTTACTGTTGTAGTTAAGGTTCAAAGTCCTTCACCCTTGATGTACTCTTGCTGGTTAAAGAGATGGCCCAAATTTTAGCTCTAGAGCAAATACAGCAACGTGGTCAAACTTGGGTCACATGACAAGGGGAGAGCACACACAGGAGGTATGGGGATAGGTAAGAAACCCAAAACATGATAGTATTTGATGTCCCCACCGCAGAGGAACTAATACAGAAACCTTAAAGCGACAGAGGTCAACACAAGAAGGGGATCAGGAACCAGTGAAGAGGTCAGGTAGAGATGAGTCAACTTGGGTTGTAACACATTTGTACTGAAAGCAATGCTAGGAATCTCTCTGTATAGCAATCCTTAACTCAACTAGCAAAAACGCTTTGTCTTCCTTATTATGCTTATGTCTTCTCTTCAGCAAAATTAGAGACAAGGGCAGAACAGATTCTGCCTGGAAGTGGTAGGTGGGGGTGTGGGGAGAAGAAACAGCCCAAACAATGTATGCACATATGAATAAGCGAATAAAAAAAACCTTAAAAAAAAAAGAGATGGCCCAAAGCAATGACACATATCCAACATTAAACAGCAACAACATCTCTGTGGGTCAGCCATTCTTACCCACCTAACAGCAACATGAGCAGGCATTTTAGAGTGTATATTTCTCATGCGGTGATTTACTCTGCATGGTTTCAGTGAATTTTCAAAATGAGGCCATGGGGCAAATAGAGCAAGCCTTGTTTTCACCCAGCTCTCCAGGCCAATACATTGGGTCATCCCACGGAACACACTCCAAGAAATGCCCTCCCCTTGGAATATGTTGTAAGACATATACTGTGGAGCCCTAGAGTCCTACAGAGCAGCAGTTATGCCAATTTTAGGATAGGAAACTGAAGACCAGGGAGGTTAAGTGAATTATTCAAGGTCACACAGCCAAGGAGGAAAAGATTCTGGTTCAAAGTAGATCTAAGGAGACTGTGACAGTGTTAATTCTCAATGCCAACACCTCCATCGATATTGTCTTTGAGGTGTTTAGATGGCCCATGAGGCCACTTGAAAAGAAAGTCTTCATGCCATAGTGCAAAATGGCACATTGTAACTTAGTTTTACTATATATGTGCCACACTCAGGACTTTGGTTCTTGGGCAGGAAATGCCTACACATTAAAAAAAAATCAAGTTCTAGAAATAGTGGCCTGTTCCTCTTCCCTGTAAAACTGGCTCACATGAATATTCAATAACCAGCATCCCTAAAACTCTACTTTATTTCCCACCTGTGTTGTTATCCTATCACAATCTGTGGTCTGTGCCAAAAGGCACATTGAAGTATTAAAAAGAAACATTAGAGTTTGAGAAAAGTGTCAAACAATATTTATTAAAGTGCTGTAATTGGACTCCATGTAAAATGAGTGACTTCCTATATTCACTAATCCCCAAACAAAATAACTATCAAGAAATATTAAAACACACATTTTATTAGTTTCATTTAATTTCTTAATTGCTCAAAGTCAGTTTACCCATTTATTGCTGTGCGAAGTGCTTAGAGGCAAGGCACACATTAAAGGGATTATTTCCATGTAATCCCCCTCCCAGAGGGTAGGAGCTGATCACTGTGAATCCCGATGTACTCTATAACAATACCAAGTGAGGAAATCGGTATGGCAAAATGATATAGTCAGTAGTCGGGTAATACAGAAGGAAAATGTCATTTAATAGCAAGAGAAAGTACCTCATTTTCAGTAAAAGGTATGCAGGCCTTTTTCAGGAATAGCTATTAACCAAACTGAATTTAGCCTCCTCCTTTTCTGGCTATACCTCTGTTAATTGATAGATGTTGAAGATATGTAGTCTGCTAAGATTTTAATCAAATGGTGTCTGGGAGAAGATGTGATCATTTCACATCTGAGCATTACCCTCTCTGTGAGAGTTCATCCGCTGACAGACTTCCTTCTTGGCAAGAGAAAGAGTGGAGGCACTCACTCGGGAAGAATTTGGAGAGGTGCTAGATACTACATTACAGGAAAGGGAAATGAGGTAGGAAGGGGTCTAGGTAAATGTTCAGCAAGAAACTTGTGACAATTTGATGTTCTGGCAGCTTCTGTGTTACATCATAGCTGGCCTGAGACCATTACACTCCAGAGGACTGGGAAACCCATTAGTGACCAGGGAAAGAGCTTTTCCTTGTCCTGTTGCTAACGCACCTCTCCCTGCTATGCTACCTAGGACCCAAGTACATTATGTTAGGAGCATTACTGCTATTCTTGAAAGGAGATAAAAGAACATTAAAAGAGTTCAGAGGTAAGACCAGTCCTTGCCAGCAAGCAACTCCTGCCCCCCTTCCAGACGGCAGGTGACCCAGACAGAAGGGCCATGTCTGACAGCTGGAATAGGCAGGGCCTCTTCTGATAGTTCATATTCACTCTACCTTTGGAGCCAGCCTCATTCAAAGAGTACAAAAAATAAAACACTTTTTAAAAAGCCCTCAAGAAGATTTGTACCATGTATCTTATTAGATTGAAGGAAAAACAAGCTGATACCAGCAGAAAAAAAAAAATGGCTGCTTCAGACCCCAACTGACCTCTTTGCATGGAAAATTCTCCATGTGATTACAGAGCTAATGAGTAATATTTAATGAAAACATTAGGCCTTTCCATACATTTGTATGTGGCAGTTCTTACATTTACATTTACATAGAAATAAGAGGATATATATAAAAACACATCTTGGAAACCTTGTATATTTTAAGGAAAATACTCATCTGCAATCTCTGGCTGCTTCTATAGTTGTTTTTATACAAAGCCCAAACTTCACAATAAGAAAACTGTAGAATTCAGTCAATCATCTGCTTGACACCAAACATGTAAGTGTTTGATGATGCGTGGATAAAACAGCTGAAAGCAAGGCAGACTCGTCCACGTTCCACAGAATGGTTTGGCTTTATGCAAACAACAGTGTATGAGGAAAAAACCAGGCTAAACAATTGCTAAATAAATACATTAGAAAAAAAAAAAAAACAGTCTTTCTCTTTGAACTTCAAGAATCTTGAAGTATTTGAAGATGAAGACTTGGAGCCAGGATTGCTCCTGGGTGCTGAGTGTGTTTTCTTTGCTGCTCAGAATCTGAATCACTGTGCTATTGAATTTGAACATAGAAAAGCCTGTGACACCTGTCTTTCCCACCCTTTGCCTTTCCTCCCTAGGTGGAGCTGACAGGCAGCAGCGTCTTTGACTATGTCCACCCCGGGGACCACGTGGAGATGGCAGAGCAGCTGGGCATGAAGCTCCCGCCTGGGCGGGGTCTCCTCTCGCAGGGCACCGCAGAGGACGGAGCCAGCTCAGCATCTTCCTCTTCTCAGTCAGAGACCCCTGAGCCAG